ATATTTGCATCTTTTGCAAGACAAAGATTATAGAATAGTAATAGAAATAGCTATATGGTCTATTTATTGAGCATAATATAACAATGATTGCTCATTTTACTGCAGGTGAAATATAGTTTGGAAAATTAAGATTTTTTTTTAAATTTTTTATCAACCCCCAATTAAGGAACTAGTTTATAAAAGAGATGAGGTCCTTATTGCTTATTATATTTTTAAATCAATCCTTACGGGATTATTATGCTGATCTCTTACTCTTAAAAACATTGGTCCATTACACTACTAGTGGCTAAAAAAAAAATCTACAATGGTGCTTTAAGTACCATGAAGAAAAAAGTATTTCCAGTGATAAGCGATTGCAATTTTTGGGTATTTGCCTGTTGATTATTTTTCCTTCTAACAATGTTTTATTCCTCTGAGCTCTGTACCGATGGTGTTCAGGGTTCAATTGAAAAGCAGGAATAAGACACCCACACCTAAAGTAATTTTTTTCTCATCTCCTGACATTTACACTCACCTGATCCCTTTTCTCCGTAGGCTTTAAAGGGTGGGATGACAATATTTCTGATCTCTCCCACACACATGCCCAGCAGGCCCTCATCCAGGCCCTTGATCAGCCAACCCTCCCCCACTAAGGAGTCGTGGGTCTGCTTCCTGGTGTAGCTACGTAGGGCTCATACAAGCGCAAAGTCAAACACACAACTTCACACAGACAACATACCTGGATGACACAATACAAAACACAGAAGAGCTGTCAGAGCTGGGTTTTGTTTGAGAGTTTGAAAAACACACTTTAGATCATTCAGTAAATATGTAATTTTGAGTGGGAAAACACCAACATTCGGCCAAGCCAGAATTCACCTAGATTCAAAAACGGTTCCGTCGAGCAGGGAGCCGTTGAAATGGTAACGCACAAAGTCAGTGCGCATCACAGAGCGTTTACAGTCTTTGGGAGTGGTGACAGCTTTGGTGACGACCAGGTCGGCTTTGTTCCACAGATCCAACAGATGGATGTCAAACACCAGGGTGGCATCTGGAGGAACCACGTCCCCTAAAAACAATTAGATAAAGACATCACCACATGTTTATTGAACACCTGGTGGCGATTAGAATGCCGGGGAAATTGAGACGAAATGTGACCATTTTGGCTTTTGATACGAATCTGTAATGGTTGCATTGCCTTGAATTTGTCTGGTGCTCAATTAAGTTTTATTTCCAAACTGTTACTCTTTTTTTTTTTTGGTCTTTCAACTTTTTATATTAATTCATTATTATAACAATAGTATAGTTTGACATTTAAGCTCAATCGTAGATGAGTAAATTGATACAACTCTCATATCTGTATTCTAAATATGAAGCTATAGCCAGCAGCTAGTTAGCTTAGCACAAGGACAGGAAACAGGGAAACAGCTAGCCAAGTGACAAAATCCACCTACCAACACCTATAATGCTCATAAATTAGCATGTTGTGTCCTGTTTTTTTTTCATTTAAAAACATAATTTAAAAGCCTGGAAACAACCAGTCTCACTGTTTTCTGTCTTTATGCTAAGCTACGCTTGTATTCAATGGAAAAACAGGACAGTGGTACCAGTCTTCTCATAACTATCTCCCCAAGTCAAATTATTCCTTTAGAAAAACAGGGCATCAGGTGTACCTCATGATTTTTATTTTTTGAATTGTCTTTCAGTGGAGCATATTACCAAATAAATCTGTCTGGGGTCTGTGGCCCTTTGCCATAGATAATAACTTTAGAATTAACAAGGGCCAACCTAATCTCAAATATTAATGGCTGGTCACAACCGAAAATGGACTGTATTGTGCCATCCAAACTTTTTAAATGTTTCTTTCAAATCTGCCATCAGTACAGATATTTCCTCTCCTGCAGACCAGTTCACTTCACTATATAACATTTTTTTACTTACCTGCACCGGTGCTTCCGTAAGCCAGGTGAGGCGGGATGGTGATTGTCCTGCGCTCATTCACACACATGCCCTGCAGGCCTTTATCAATGCCAGCGATGAGTCGACCCTCACCTAAGAGTCCGACCTTGGCGGCTCCTCTCTGATGGCTGTGAAAGACAAAGGAATGTGCGTGAACGTCTGCAGGGAAATGAGTGTCTACAGCTTTCCAAATAGCTCATTGCAAACTTGTTTTAATGTGTAAATCAGCATCTCAGCATTAATACATTCATTTACGACACTGTTGGGCTTTGGAACTGCTTTGAGGGCCGGATCAGTAGTTATCAACTTTACGAGAAAATGACATAAAACTAAAATAAATGCATTCAGAATTCATTATATAAAGCGAATGAACTTACCTCGAATCAAATATTTTCCCGTCGACAAATGTGGCGTTGTAGTGATAACGAACATTATCTCCCTCTTTCGCTTCTCTGGCACAGACCTTGGGGATGAAGTATCTGTCCACGACTACATCTCCTAACACAGGACTGGGATTACACTCTACGGGAGACCACGTAGTGAAGAGGAAAAAAACAAGGCAGCAGGCAAACATATTTGCAGAATCACGCTAAATAACTTAGAAGGATTCAAAAAAAAAAATGCAGCAATAGTGATAAATCTGATCAATTTTGGGAGCGCGGCTGTTTGCGTCCTTTCAGACAGGGCCTCGGCTGCAGATGTGGAGCAGGAAAGCGGCGTCTGAAGGCTGTAAACGTGGACAATCTCCAGGTTGCTGTGCAAACTTTTTACCAGAGGGAAGGAACGACGGAGTTGGGAGTGGGAAGCGCCCATCAAACTCACCACAATAAGAAATGAGACCACTTCCGTTAAGCAAGAGACAAAAAAATACACATTTATCCACTTTTACCATGAAACAGGAATTATATTGCGAATGTTAGAATGGGGATGGGGGTGTTTGTATAAATGGGTTTGTAGGTAATAAGATCTGATTTTATTATTAAGCATTTTTGCAAAAACCTTTATTTTTCTGGTTTAACTCATTACATATTATTTCTAGTACACAATGTGTCTAAGACTAGTTTCATTCATATGACTGAATAATTGGTTATTCTTTTTTGTCCTTTTAAAAATCTTCCATTGTCTGCTTTTATTTTGAAAGAAAACCTGCTTATTGTTCAGCGGAGCTTGACTCTTCAGTACCGCTGCACACAGCTGCAGGGAGCCGAGCGATCCGCCTCTGGATCAGCCCAGTCAGAGCCGTAAAGTGACCCGAGAGCCTCAAGAGGTTCAGCTTTTTCATTAATGCCGTGAAGTTAAAGCAAAAATAACTTCACTATTTCCTACAACTACGGGAGCCTGTAGGATACATTAAAAAAAAAATAAAGGATGCAACATCACAACAAAAATACTACAGATCACATCTGTAACCGTTAGTGGATTTAAAATTTCTGTTATAAATCCAAACAATAACCTCTATTCTAGATTTTATCTCCACAAATGACAAGATTAATACATAAACAAATACAATCTTTTATATTTTATATTCATAATTGTGTTCTGTTAAACCAGTGGGTCTGAATGTGTGGTCCTGGGATCCCAGGGTTCAATGAAAGGGATTCCAGGGATAACCAGCAAAATAAACAACAATACAGTTGCATTAAAATTCAACTGACTGGATACGGTTGTGTCTTGGAGGTACCTGACACGAAAATGACTTCACTGACCACGAAGAAAAACTGTACAAGGTGAAAAGCAACTAAAACATGGTCTGTACAGAATACACAACAGTTATACTTTTTAATGCTACATTAGCAGCAAAGACATCAGCAGCAAAAATATTTACAATCTGCCTGATCATTAAGTAGGAAGGACTACCAGCCAGTTTCAAGTTAACCCCGCTCTGCCAGAGATTCATCACTGCTAGATATCTATCATTCTGTTGCTCACATTTCAATATTAAGCAAATCAACAACATCTATGAATTCCTTTAAAACTGAGCTCTTATAACTGTAAATGTAATCATTTTGCATAACTACAATACAAACAATTCGAAGCGAATGGTGTTATAATCCTGGAATATATTTCCAATGACTGTAATAAATCTTTCAAACCTGCAATAAAGTGACATTTTTACACATAATTATTACACAGTGTGGGTGAAGAATTTTCATAATTGCTTCGCCCATTTGCCAAAGATCCCCTCCATACATACATTTTGTCACACATGGCAGCAGGCACTGAATTTATCTGATCAGTCTTAACAACAATTTCAATAAACGCTGACAAAGTTTTAATGACTAATATGACTAATATCAGCAGGAAAAGTGTAACACTATTAATGTAACCAATACATCTTTTTAAAATGTGGCACACCAACAGAATTTCTAAACTGAACTGCGAGTCAGTTATTTCATTAGAAATTCTAAACTTCAACTGCTGAGAACAACTGAAATGTTAAATCACTCAACACAACGTAAGAAATGCTGACTTCCTCACAGAGACATCAAGGTGAAACATGCTCGCGAAGATTATGCTAAAGTGATATGCAGATATTATGTTAGTTTAGTTTATCTTAGCATGCTGGCAAGCTAAGATTAGCTTATTACCACTGAACACATGTGAATGTCATTACTTTTGTATTTGGTCATTAACATAAATATTGCACAAATTTGATTTTTTTGATCAGATGGTGGCGCTAGAAGAAAAGTCAAGGGATCACCAAAGTCATTAGGACACATTATGATAAGATGAACAAGTATCAGGAAGCAGTATGCAGAAGTATTGTGTTTTTTGTTTGTTTTTTGTTTTTTTAATCTGGATTTTCACAACAGACATATAATAGATCACACAGTCACTGGTATTCAGATATGTTTTAATATGTATTTTAATATACAGTAATATGAGTATTTACATTGAAAGCTAATACTGATGACCTTCCTGTAGACTAGACAAGGTTGACGTCCATACTCTACATGAATGGTGCCAAAATCCTTTAATGAATCCAACTACGATGTGTGATCACAAACAGTGGCGATAAACACAACGTGACCTGAGCTTTCAGCTGAGTCTGTCCTTGAGTATTTTTTTTTTTTTTTTAAGATTGTTGTACAGTGTTTCGGGAATAAGGAGTAGTTCAAGTATGACTAAAGGGATACACTGACATTTAAATCAAGTTCATGTTGTCAAATTATGATTTTGGTATAATTTGCATTTCTTTTATGTCACTTATCTTCTTCAGTGAGGAATGATATTAAGATTTTTGGTTTAATAAACCTGATTTCAGCGGCAGAGACTTTCACTAAAGAAGTCTGTGTGATAGACTTCAATTCAAAATGTCAACATATTCCTTTAATGCTACTGTAGGTTGACTGGCAGTGTACTGTGGATCATCTCCTCTGGCACCTGTGCTATTACGCAGTTCTTTATAGTTATTGGTGAAATAAAGGAGGTGTATAATCCTGATATAAGTCCTGATATAAGACCCTCTGAGGTCCAGAGAGGCTAAATGGAGAGAGTGATGCACATAAAAGCTGCAGAATTGGATTTTTAAAAAGGGAGACCATTTTCGGTACTTGTTGTGATGTTTGTCGTTTCACACTGAAATACAATCTGGAAATCAACTTTATAATGTTATTTCTTTTAGATATTTATTGCTTATTACATGGATCTGGTCAGTCAGGATGAAATCCTCCAAATTGTACCATTCAGAGATAAAGCATATTTGGCTTAAACAGCCTTAAATTCTAATTTTATGCAGTTTATTTATACATGTAAGTGCATACATACAGTAGAAGCCAAATTTTGATTTGTAAAACTTTATGTATAGAATTTATGCATTATTGAGGGAACTCTTGTATTTAATAAGGCGTCTGCATCATAAGTTTGCATGTTGAAACTTGAAAATCCCCTTCATGGGCATATATGAAATATATACCATATTCCTTGCAGTCCAAATAATCAGGCATGAAGCCAACAACAACAACAACAACTTTGAAAATCCAGAGGAGCTCCAACTGAATCACCTCGTGCTAATTAAAATCTTCAAAATGAGCAGTTTTAAGCTGAGAGAGGCAGGAAGAGTTTTCTTGTGCTTCCATTCAGAGCGGCAGTGTGTCACTGCTTTTCTAAACGAGTCAACCTTATTATACACTATGTACATCAGCACCCATGTTCAGCATACTTGTATGCATATTGGTTGTATATGGATTACAGCGGGGATAAAACATTTGGTGTGTATATGTGCAGCTGTCTACCCAGTTTGGCTGCAGTAAAGTACAAAGTACTCAGATGTCAGCACAGAGATGCAAAAAGCTTGCTTGCGGGCTTGAACTATACATTCATACATTAATGCATATTATGTTGAAGCATTGACTTAGGATGGACTACTGCTTGATATTGACTGACAGTATAAGAGGAGAAATTATGGCTATAACTGTGGAATGTAAAGTCCTAGTACACAAAAATAACCCTCATCTACACAGATAAAATGTCAGCAATCACTATTCTGTATGATATTCATATATTTCTAGTCACACTACTGAGAGGAGGTGGTTGTGTTCTCTATGAGGTTAAATATGTTAACTATATTAACAGAAGGCTTCCTTAAAAAGTTCAAACCAGGAGAAGTAAATATCCTACTTCCATGATATCACTTATAAGGGTAAAGCATAATAACAGTCGAAATGGCAGAGGACCAGCTGTAACCACAGGAAAGGAAAAGAGAACCAAATAGCTGAGTAAACACACTTCAGGTAAGGGCTTTGCGCGTGTGCGCGTGTCCAGGACAAAAATATTTCAAATCAGTTCAAGCAACACGAAAACATTGCAAATAAAAACTGGAACGAGCACAAAACAGGAGGCGATACTGACAACGGCAACTTGGACATTTGTAACCAGACAGTCCCTGAGAGCCGTTCTAATCTGTGGGAATGTGCCCTCAGGGTTTCTGTACCACAGTCAAAAAATAATTAGACTTTCCAGAGGGAGAAAATACAGGCAGACACAGCTTCAGTAAAGTCAGAAAAAGGGGAAAAACAAAAGGTCTGATGGCTCGTAAGCGGAAGACATCTTTGTTTTGTCTCCTCAGAGCAGACTGGACAGGGCATATGATTCAAACTCCTGCAGATCTGGAAAGAGAAGAGGAAGGAAGTGGAGAAAGAGGTTGAGAAGAGAAAGGGAAGATTTAAGGATTTAAGGAATCTGATAGCACAGACTGATACAGGTCAATCCATCACAATTCCCAAAAACCAAATATATTCAATTCAATTTACTACAATGAAAGATCGGGAAATCCACTAATTTTAGAACTTCGCCTGACCTTGATCAAAAATAGTAGTTTGTTAGTTGCAGATTTATTTTCTGTTGACTGACTAATTCATGATTCGACCAATCGTAAAGCCCTAATGCACATAGTAGAATAATATGAAAAAGTACTGAAAGTGAAAACTTAAAGAGATGTTCACCTTTTATTATTGAAAGTCTTATGAAATGAACATTAAAAAGTCGACACTGCAGCTATATTCTACAAATGGCAGGCAGGTTAATGAGGGGACATGCAGTAAAAATGCTACTGAAGCAAACTAAGATGTTTCCATAACATGTTCATGAGCTGCTGCACATGTAGAGATAAAATTATGATCGAGTTGAATTATGTTTTGTGTTGCACAGACTACATAAATGCTGTGGTATCTGGCTTTGCTTCATGGTACTGTATACGTGATCTTATATAAATAAAACATTAAATTAAAAAATGAGAGAAAAGATGACAAAAATAAAATAAGGCTTAGTAAGACGGTGACATTTGTGTGTCCTTAGAAATCTGTGAAAATAGTGGGCGGTCAGAGGATGAAGAAGCAGGGGATTCTTATAAAACAGATGGCAGATTATGTTGACATAATGAACGGTGTTTAAAGACTGATAATGTTTTGGATCAGGACTGGAAGGCGGGATCGTACCTTCCTCTTCGGATGTTTCTGGATCCGCAGTGATGCAGAGACGAGATGGAGGGAGAGGACAAAAGAGACAGAGAACAAGTGAAGCAGAAAGACAAGTAAGACCGTCAAGTTTTCTTAATATCAAATGTTAGTCGGACGTAGTGTAAAAAAACATGCGATGAACCCAAGCATTTAAAAGCAAAGTGCTTAACAGAGCCATCATCTTTTTATTCTTTATCTTTTGTTACCCAGCAACTGAACTTTGCAATCAAGGGACATGGCCCGGCAGATTTGATGCTATCACACAAACTACACTCATGAGATTGGGGCAAAAGATTACAGTCATTGACAAGATTTTTTGTTTATTTGCATGCCACAGCAAAGCCAGCATGAGGCAAAACAGCACTGTAGGGTGTGAGTAAAGGAAAAGCAACCTGGAGTCAAATCCAGATGTGTAGAGAAGAGAACGACAGTGAGAGGGCAGGGGGATTCAATAAAGCTTGTTAATCTAAAGTATTTATCTAGTTATTTAGGATTGTGCACTGTAGGAAATCTGCATCACTGTCAGTACCCAACTTAAAAGAATACTCCATCGATTTAGCATCACACTCCTGTAACGTTTAAGCTTAAAAAGCAGAATCACAGATACCATACATTCTTCTTCCCTATCAAAACCTGGTGCCCACATTACCCACAATGCAACACAACTATCGACAGTTTGGCCGGAGATTCAGGGGGTTAGCCTTAAGCAGAGATGAGGAGCGGACTACAGAAGTCTGACAAGCTCACTTCTTTCTAACTCCACAACCACAGACTTCTTTTTCAAACTGAGCATTCTTCAGACCCAACCGGCGCCGACTCAAGTGTCATCACGTAAGGCCATTTATCAGTCTTTACTCAGCTCCCTCTGGAGCCAGAAAAGGTTTTATACAACTTGTTTCACATATGCAACAGTGCTCCTCAAGACCTATAAACAGACATGTGTGTGTAAAATCAGTGGAGTGGAGGATACAAACTCTGTCTTCTATTTATTTAGTTGTGTGTGGTATAAAAATTCAGAGCAGTTTCATTTATGTGTCCAATATAAGGCTGCAACTTATAATCATTTACATTATTGACACAATTAATGTATTTGCTATATTTTTAATTAGTCAATTAATCATTGAGTCAATTGAATATTCAGAAATAGTGAGAAAAAATAAAAGTTCAAAGAGATGAAAGTGATTTTTGCCCATTTTTCCAAAAATAAAAAAATAAAAAATAAAAACTTAAATTCTAAATCTGTTTATAGTTTTAACAGGCTCAGCAAATAAAAAAAAATACCAGAATACATACATAGTGAATTAGTAACCCTAATGCCAATCATTTCATGCTATAATGGAATTTTCATTGAGGAGCTCAGCAGCCAAAATACTAGTGAGGTAAGTACTATAATTCATGCTCTCTTCCACTGACAAAACCTACTGATGGAGAAGCATCCACTGCACGTCCACCAGCATTAATAATAAACCCACGCGCTTTCTGGTTGTGAGTATGGATCAGACAGCAAGCAGAGGAGCATTCAGCAGCGAGCCGCAGGCATGTGAATTAGCTGACAGAGGAACACAGCAGGCACACACAGATGGAGGCATGCCAGAGCTCTTACTTAAATCCCCAGCCAGTTCCCCCCAGGACTATCGCTGCCAGCAGAATTGCACCAGCAACCGAACCTATTATGATATTGGTACCACTGGGACCTGTGGGAGTGAAGGGGGTGAGTCAGCCAGTGAGGAAAACAAATGGCATGTGAGGGTGCCAAGTGCCAAAAATTTTAAATATCTGTGGTTATCCTCTTTATGTTTTCTGACTGTAAAACTGTAAAGCATCAAAAAGAAGTAAAGAGCTATAAAATATCAGAGTGTGGAAATCAACAGAGAAAAACCCAGTTCAAAGTTACACAAATTACTGCAAGTAGTGACAAGTTTGAATTATTATGTGATGCTAGGTGGTGAAGTGTCTTGCAGTCTCCATGTTCTGCATTATTTATATCCAACAAACAATGAAGACGGTAGTGGAGTGAAAGGCAATGATGACTTATTCTGGCCCTTTAATAAATTCCAGTGGTTCATACAAATTAATTTGTGTACATATCAAGGCATCAGCATTTCAGTACACACCATTTGTGTAAAGCATTTTGTTTTATTTTAGAGTGATATATACTGAAAAGATACTGTGAAATACCCCTTTAAAAAGCTCAACAAGAAAACAACCCGCAAATCCCCAAATATGATGCTTATTTCACATATCATTGTTTCTATATATTGTAATTTTTTTTTCATTAATATGTTGCTTTTTTTTAAATTTGTTTTTATATGTCATAATTTTGTGTTTCTTTTAAACTCAATATATTTCAAAGCTGCTGATTTGCACACTTTAATCACTGCTCAGTGTGGTTACCTCTGTATTTTTCTGGGCCCTCAGGCGGGGTGGGGATGGGGATCGGGTCAAACACGCTACAGTCCTTCCCAGTGTAGTCTGGATCACAGATACACTTCACCTCATTACTGCACGTCTGAGGGACGAAGAGGAGAAACGTGCGTGAGAGCGTTTCCACATTTGATCTAATTTACTGCCGACAATGCATGGTTTTGCGGAGCAGCGGAGACCGACTCACCCCGTGGTGGGAGCAGATACGCGAGGACGAGGAGCCCGGGCAGGTGCTGAGGTTGAAGGTGGTGACAGGGAGGCAGCGGCGCTCCAAACACATCATGTTTGGCCCACATGGCGTCCCGTCCTCCACGTAGCCCAGGTCCAAACCGTCATCCAACACTGCATGGCCTCCTCTGTAGGTTAGACGGTCACAGAAAATTATGATTTCTTTACCCTCCTTCTTCCAGCTCTATTTGAGTCTACCTGATTTGGGATCATCTCAAGCGCTAAAATTGCAATAAAACCAATTAATCTATTTCTGAATACAGATCAATTTCTCTATTGATTCATAGTATGCCATATATTTCCCTCCCCTTGTTTCCCCTCACATACTCTGTATATATCCAAATGAGCTGACACCGTTTAATACATGAGTTGCCAAATGTGTGAGGTTCGATTCAGGGATTAATTATCTTAAATCAGCGCTTTCTCTAATCGCTCTTTGACAACTCATCTCACTTTTCACCTTTTTCCTTCTATTCTCCTTTCAGTTTTTTTTTTTAAATTATTTTAACCATATTTGTGATCAATATTTGTCGTAGACAAGATTCACAAGATAAAACACATCCATCTTTTTCCTCATGTAAGGAACCCGAATGTGGTTTAACAGCCTTCTGCATTTGTTAACCCTTTAATTGTTGTTCAAACCCAGCAAGCTACCAAATAAAAGCTGCCTCACCTGCAGTCCAGGTATCTGTTCTGATGGTGGATGGTCAGACTGGTGAGCTTCCCCTGCATCTCGCCAAACCTCGGCTTAGCTGTCAGATTGGTGCACAGCAGCAAACCACAGAGAACGTCTCTGATGGAGGCAAATGAGAGAAGATGTAACAATAAAACAATGATTTAAAAAAAAAAAAATGCTCATTAAGTATTTATAGTTTATACAGTTTATACGTTCACTCACTGCTTGTTGCACTGCACCCATCCCTGACCACTGGAGTCTGGGCCACAGTTTCCTTTCTCTGTGCCTTCAGAGTTCAGCTTCTCATAGCAGAACCTGTCAGCGGAGTCTGAGAAGAGAGAACAGACTCTTTCACTTAACACTCTCCAACCCCTGGCCTCACTTTAATCACTACAAGGCTCTTCTCAGAAGATATAAAAAGATTCATGTGGAATATGAGTGAATGACTCTAGTTTTCATCCTGAAAGTTCTTGTGGCCATAACGCAAAATAACAAAAAAAAAAAAAAAAAAAAAAAAAAAAAAACACCAAAGGGAAATGTATCTCAACAAAAATAAAAGAAATCGGACAGACGAGTCAGTGAACTTGACTCTGATCCTCAGTGAGATATGCGATTTCCAGCAAGACAACAAAAAACGGCCTGAACAAATTAAAGGAGATAAACGGAGTCCCCAAAGGAGCACCAGTGATCCTTGTCATACGGAGGGTCCTAATGGAAAACAACATCAGAGTCCAGACCATCTGTGTCCAGCTCGGCTGAGAATTCATATGAAGATGAGACAAGAACCTATGAAATAGTGGAAGAGGCAATACCGGACCAATATCGGATCCAGTGGACTGGGGATTGCCCGTAAAAGTAACCGCAGAACCGGAGTTGTCTCTGGAAAACACCATCCGCCATAGCCATGAAATTTTAACCATCAGGGGTCCATGCAACATTGAGAAACAACACTCGATATCGAATCAAACCTACTGTAGCCCCACAGAGTCCTGCACTGGCCATCTCTGGTCTTACAGCGACCTCCATAACAACGACCCTGAGGAGGAGAAGGACGAAGGGTGGATGTGATGATGAGAAGAGGACACACAGTAAGAGACAAATATTTTATTGAATGCAACAGGAGAAGCTGTGATAGACATTTAACATAAAGCATGACTTCACCTGGCCAGCATCACACATGTAGCCATCCAGTTTGTGGACATTATGAGGACACTGAAAGAGTAAGAAGAGTATCCATCCATCCTTTCAGATTTCTGCATTCTTTTCAGCATCTTGGTAAAACGCACACTTGTGTTTGGGGGGGGGGGGGGGGGGCTTCCTCTTACCTGGCTGGAGTCGCCTGTACAGGTCTCGGAAATGTCACAGTCGTTGACAGTATCACGGCACGTCACGCCTCTCAGCTCGTACTGTCACAAATTACCATAGAAGAAGAGAGAAAATGGAGACAGATGAAGAAAGGAGAAGGCAAACAAAGAGATGGAAAACACAAGTTAGTGAGACAGAAAGAGTCGACCTGGGGCCTCGATGAACGACAATAAACTGCCAGTTAAAGAAGTGTGATATATTAAAGCAGTTCACCTTGCAGTCCCTGCAGCAGAGCCCGTTGCTGCACATGGCATTGTGGGTAAGCGTACACTTCTTACAACAGTTGGCTCCACTCCGAGCACAGTCCTACAGGACAGAGAGCGTTTATAGTGCATCTGTAGATCATGAGTGTCCGGGTGTGAAGAAATACTTGTGTAGCCATATTTTTATTTTTATTTTGCACAATTTAAAATACACTGAAAATGACAGAAAACAAATGAAAATTCAGTAGGAAGGAAGAGGCAAATAACTCAATGGGCTTATTTAAAGCCTCCACCTAAGTATGTAGGATTATCACAAAATTATAAAAATACAAAATAACGTGGCTACATAAAAACGATGACAAACTAATAGGTTCAAAATATATATATGAAAATTAACAGCAATTATAACACTAATATCATATAGGAAACAATGATTCTTGCCTCTCCTTGGGAAGTGGTCAACTCAACAGCTGGTAGCTAAATAATATCCTCTGTAGAGTTCTCAGTTAAGTCATTAAGTAAACAGCATTTCTATATATTTGTCATTTAAATTGTACCTATGTTTACCTACCTATCTAAACAATGATACAGGCCAATTCCATTTACACTGAATTGTTGAAGGTAAATGAGAAAAAAAAGACCAACTCATGTAGCACATGACCCCCTCATCAAGACAACTTTCGACTTCCCTGACCATATATGGAAATATACATATGTTTCAGTACAGACTCATTGTGCAAAAGGCAATCAGTAAGTCATTTGTTAACTCGAGTACACTCACCACTAGTGATCCACAGTCACATTCCTCTCCCGGCTCTACATATCCATTGCCACACTCTGGTGGGTCTAATAGCTACAGACAAAACAAAAAATGATGTAAGGAACTTTATTTTGGAGGAATGTTAATTTCCGTTGCTCTGATAACAACTGACTGGCCCTCACCTTGTTGGGCTTGTTGAAGAGGCAGCTGCCTCCTCCCTGCTGGAGGAAGCGCAGGTACTCGTCTATACTGCAGCGAGAGAACTTCCTCGGCAGGTAGTAGCTGATTGACAAAGGAAACACAAAAACCAAAATCACCAACTGTTATGGGTTAAAACCTTCAAATTCAGTATTAAATATGGTTTCAACCAACGTTGTGTTAATGTTTTCCCCAAATAAAGATGAAGTCGGGTACTTTTACATGCAACATTTACAAGGTACTCATTGCATTGTAGATTACGGGCTGGATAGGAGAGAGATGCAGGACAGCAAAAAACAACAACTGAGAATTCTTTCTTAATTAAGTACAGGTCACTTTACACTTCACTTTACAATTTACTGTAAAATGAGTACATACCCTGTATCCTCCATGATGCAGCCCAGCCATGGATCTGGACACCTGCAGTCTCCTGGACGGACACACACACACACACACACACACACACACACACACACATTTCTGTGGTCAAGACAGATAACAGGTGATGCTGACTTCTCACCACTTGGGGGAGCTGTTAGTGCAGCAGAGGTGGACTGTTTTCTTTTCTCAGTGACAAAGTTATTGTAATTCTCAGTGGAAATCCAAATGAGAATTTGATGAGGCCATCTGTAAAAGACAGCTTTTAGATATAGGACAATAAAATGTAGAATTTTATCACAGACAACTTGAAGATACAGCTCCATATGGCTCCAACTCTGGGTCTCTTAGTCATTACAAGGATGACTGTCTCTGCCTTTTTATCTCCCATGAATCCTTGTGCAATGTTTCAACCATTGTCTGCAGTTTACTTTGGTCTTACCTGCAGCTGTTCGCTCCTTGTTCCTCAGCATGCCGATGTTCTGGCCAAGACTCTGACACAACGTGATGGCCATGGGGCCCACACTGCCAAACTGAAGACACATATGAAACAAGTAAACAAAAACTAAAAGGGAAATATAAATACACACTTTTACACAAGTTCTTTTGGACAAACACCAATTTTTAGTCACTGTCTCAAATTCGTACAATGCAAGAGGCACAAGTCTCACCTCATTGATGCCTCCACCCCTGGTGAGCGAGCAGATGCCCCCGATGTAGGCCGCCTCACTGCGGCTGCTCATGAACGTCCTCCCACTGTAGTAAAGACAGGGAGACTGCTATAATAATAGACAGAAGAGGAGTGGAAGACAAGAGGAAGGAGAGGAAGAAGGAGGAGGAGAATTAGGAGAAGAGAAGGATGAGGTTGAAGTGAAGGAGAAAAAGCAGAAAAAGAAGGGAGATGGAGAACAAGGAGAGTGGAAAGAGAAAGAAGAGGATGGAAGAGAGGGAGAAGAAAAAGAAGGAAGAAGAGGAACAAGAGGAGGGGGGAGAGAAGGAGAAAAAGAAGGAGGAGGATGAGGAGGGGGAGTAGATGAAAAGGTAAAGAAAAGTAAGGAGGAGGTGGAGGAGGACATACAGAAGGAGGAAGGGGAAAAGAAGAATAAGAAAGAGGAGGAGGATGAGATGGATGAGGAGACGAAGAATAAGACAGAAGAAGAAGAAATAATAGTACAAGGTGAATGGGGGGTGGAGAAGAAGGAGGAGGAAAACATGGAGGAGGGGAAGAAGAATAAGACAAAAGAGGAGGAGGGAGAGAAGGGGAAGGTGAAGAAGGAGGAGGAAGAGGTAGTAGAGGAAAAGAAGAAGAAGGCAGCAGAGGAGGAAGAGAAGAAGAAATAGAAGGAGGAGGAGGAGATCAATAAAAGCAGCGGCAGCAAACTGAAATATGGAGACTGAACCCACGAGAAAAGGTGAACGGTGTCACAGCGTTCCTTGATGCTCTCCTTCCTGTACTTCATGAAGTCGCGCAGGGTGAGCAAAGCGTCGTCGCCCACGGAGACCCTGTTTTCAGACAACCAGGTTTCCATGGCCACCAGGACGATGCGAGTGTTGAGCTGCTCCTTGTAGATCTGGACACATCAAAGGGGAAAATCACGAGCAAGAATTATGCAACAGGTGAGGAGGTGAGACCAAAACACATTCAGTAATTTTAGCTGCTGTCCTGTTGCCAGATAAAGTCAGAACTTACAAACAGCTGAAGAAAAAATGGATTTGAATGGAAACAACAGAGAAACTGAAAAACAAACAAGATTAAATCAGTTGCTCATCATTATCATTATCAGTTGCAGGACTTAATTATTTCGTATATAATTTGTAAGTGTAACATTTTAATTGGTTATTTAAAACCCCTTTAGTGTGGAGAACATTTGGTTCCCACCTGCCATTGTTTGCCGGGGGACAGGTGTGAATGTGACAGTCTATGAGATGCACATTTGTCCTGCTAAGAGAGCAGAATAAAGTTGAGTCAACTGTCCTGCCGTGTCGGTGTTGATTATAAAAGACAGCTCAAAGAAAATTGTAGCCTGCATGTCATTCACAGCCCAGAGAGACTGGAGAACGCTACCGACCAAGAAACAAGGGTTACATATATTTATACATTAAATGATGATAAGGATTCAAGTGATAATAACAAATATTAGTGTTAGTGTAACATCAGGGTAATGTTGTTGAGTCAAACAAGTGAAAGATTTCTGACAGTAAAAGATATCCTGATACACAACAGTTTGAGACCAGACCTGACAATCTTAAAATAACATCAGACAGTTATTGTCTGATGCTTGTGTCTTTTTGTGAATAAGGGATGGCAGCTGTCCCGATCAGGAAAGCCTCATCTGCAGGAAAAAGCAATGAAATTTGGCGAGTGTCCTGAGTAAGCTCAAGAGACTCTCTACAATAGATTCACAATGAAGGGGTGCTATGGTTACAAAAAAAAAAAAAAAATAAATAAAAGATAGGAAGAGGAAGCTCATAGTCAGCTCCCGATTAATATTTCAACTTTTGTAGATTCGGTTGCATTTTAAAACCACTCACCGCATCAGCCATGTTCACCACGGCTTTGGCAAAGTTCTTCGTCTGAGTGCTCGACCGACGGAGCTGCACAAACTAAGAAAAGTAGAAGAGAAACACTCTTACTGCCTTATCTTATATTGTCAAAGTCACCTGAGCACCATGTGATTAAATCCTTTTTTTTTCTTTTTTTTTTTTTTAAAATGAGAGTCTCACTCTTTCTTTATTACTGCTCTTCTGCTGCAGTTCCAGAGATAAGGTAAAAGAAAACACCCTGGAGCTGTCAGTTTCACACTTACCAGTTCATGGTCATTAACCACCATCAGCTCGATGTACTTAGTCTCGGTCTGGACGGTGCGCTGGCCTCGCCGCACCTGGAGGGGGCAAAAGAAATCCGCACAGCTTTGAGCACACCGTCATAATAACCTTCACGGAGGACAAGCAGACACATGAACACAACAACACATACACGAACCCAGCAGGTGAAACCATTCACACACACACACACACACACACACACACATACACACACACATACACACACACACACAGACGCACACATATGCTGATGCTGGTGAAACTTTAGCCTTTGTCCTTGAGAAGGCAACACAACTTGGAGAGCAACAATCACTCATTCATTAAGCAGAATATTGCTCCTGATAAATGATAAATAGCAGCTGTGTCCTATTACGCCGAGAGTCTCACAAGAAATAAGCATTCTTAGATATTGTTTAGACTTTAACTCTGCTTCTCCTGGACTGTTTGGGGTGTTGTTTGGTTCATGACCAGGAAACATCTACATACAATCCCACAGCTGTCAGAGTCGGGGCACATGTTGCTGAATTCTGATTGTTGCACTGAAGAATGTGACCTAACTTTTTATTTATTGTTTACAGATCAAAATGAGTGTACAGCCATGCTAGCACAGCAGTGGTTTGAGCAAAAGGCACCAGCATGCTAACATCCAATGTCAATGTTAAAATGCTGATGTTTAGCAGGCATTCACCATGTTCAGCATAGTTTTGCAAGTTGGCATGCTAATGTTTGCTAATTAGAACTAAACATAAAGTACAGCCAAAGTCTGGATCGAAATGGTGATTCCAACTAAATGACACAGACATCGCCAGGGTCACGTCGCTAGCATGACTAAAAAGATTAAAAGTGATGCGGCAGAGACCGAGCGTCTTCTGTTTGACCATATCTGCCTGATAAAACTTACATTTTTCAAACTTCACACCCTCAGTTATTAATGAAGGCTTTCCATTTTAAATTAATCAAGTGGCATTACTTGATTAATTTTCTCAGATTTCAGAAAGCTCCTCCAGACTTTCTACACTCTCCCTCTTTTTTTTTTTTTTTTTTTTTTTTTTAAACTGATCTCGGGATTCTATTTTTATTAGCAAGAAAGCTGAGACAAGCTATTAGCATGTGTGTGGAGATTTGGTATCAACTGACAGACTTCTCTGTAAAATATTAATTGTGTTTGCATATCTCAACTCTAATGTTTCCTTCACGGTGACACTTTCTTCGATGCTTCAACACTATCTTGCTGGCAGGTACATGGAGGTGTGTGTGTGTATTGGGAGACTGAGAGTCATGCAGGCTGCATGAACACTAACTTGTCTTTTTGAGCGTTTTAGTCCCGCTGTGAGGACAGGCTTCTCTTCTTCAGACCAGCCGTCTCCATCCGTCAGCTCTCTGTCTCCTTCACTGAGGCCGTCTGGCCGCCCCTCAGGCTCTGAGCTGTTCATGGAGCATCCTGGGACACGCACACACAGATGGTATGGAGGGATGGAGAGACACAGAGTAAGTGAGAGGGAGATAGAAAAGTGGCTAGTCATCAGTCCAGGGATGGATGTAACCATGTATTTTAGTCCACTGATCTGCAGGAGAAATCAATATCACACAGCCAGCGGAGAGGAGAGGGAGGAAAGGGGAGAGTATAACGGGCTATAATGGGGTGAGCGAGGGGGTGACGAGGCAGGGAAGGAGGAACGGCAGAGGTTGGGTAACAGGAAGGAGGGAGGAGATGAATCCAGAGAGCATCAGGGTCAGAGAGGAGAGGAGAGGCAGAGAAGAGATGCAGCGAAATGAGACTTTTAGGCAAGGACAAGAAGGGCAGCTGGACAACCTGAGGAGGACACTGTATGCTGCTGCTGCTCTTTGTGTGTGTGTGTGTGTGTGTGTGTGTGTGTGTGTGTGTGTGTGTGTGTGTGTGTGTGTGTGTGTGTGTGTGTGTGTGTGTGTGAAAAAGGACTTGTTTTACAGAACATTTGATTGTTTTAGATCATTCAATATCAAGGACAAGGCTGCATCCTGTCAGGTTTTCTCAAAGTCTAAGTTTGGTATCTGATTTTTAAGTACAGCACCAACAAATTAGCTCTTTTAACAGCAAAACACAGACTGAATATGTAACACATCACAAAGTTTAGCCAAATCAAGCCAATGATGTTTGAGATGTCATAAATCATTTGCATCATAGCAGGATTTGTGCAGCAGGTTTTGTGTCACTGAGGCTTAGGATTTAGAAATTAGACTTTATCATCACATCAGGAAGGACGCAGACAGTTTCCAAAGTTCAGAGACGGTCAGATACAGAGGAAAGTAACTGAGAGGAGTCTCTTTGTTAACTTTTTCTGTAATCATAGCAAAGGTCCTACCTGGACAGGGAGGTGGGAAGAGGTTAATGTCCGGCATACGGTACACGATGTGGTCATTATGCTCCTGGAGGATGTCGGGAATAAGCATGAGAGATGAGAGCAAGAGAGAGCGAGAGAGAGAGAGAGAGAGAGAGAGAGAGAAAAAAGGTGCAAAAGTTAGAGCTTCTTTTCTGAGCTGCTTGTTTTCAGAGGATGACTCAGACAGAATTTTCTTTGCATTTTTATCTTTCTAATTTCTGAAGATTTTCATTAATAAAAGGTCCACAGAAGAGCTAATTGTGGGTTCCCCGGTCATGTCTGCCCAAACAGGACAAAGCTTCACCTCAAGCCAAAGGGAAACCCTCAGCCATTCACCCACGTTACAGCGTCTGAATTCTCTTAGCATTTTTTTTTTTCCAGCTGTAATTTTTAAATGGAGGAAATATAACTATAATAATCCACAGAAGAGTCAGATTTGGTTGTTCACCTTTCCAGTAAGCAGGAGTGAGAAGTGAAAAAGTTACTAATACTAAAATGAAATTCAGACCACAGCAAATGGAGTTATATCACACGTTATAAAGAGGACAGAAAATGTAGTTACACCAGCATATTACACCATTTTGATAAAATGTTTTAAGCATAACAGCAGCTTAGAGCATTTTTTTTCCTGTGGTCATTTTTAATGGAAAAAAAGGGTGCTTTTAAAATCATACAAGCTTTTAAATGACTTCTTCTCATCCTGAACTTAAAAGCTTTTCTGTGAGGAAAGTACAGCCGGTGTCCTCTGAGGTACAGACGGATCATCGGGAAAGAAAGTGCTCTGATGCATAATTAATCAATCACTGGGCTGTCATAATGGCAATAACACTACTGGACACTGTGGTACACTCGAGCTGGGAATAAATACTTTATGAAAATGACCCATCTGAGATAGAGAGCTGAGGAGAGAGAAGGAGAGTGAGGGAGTTTCAAGATGAGCTGGGTGGCTATCGATCCATCTCTCCAGTCTATGTAATTGAGCTGTACTTCGATTACTGTGGGCCTTAATGGAAAAAATGCTCAGCTTCTTCCACTCTGTTATACGTCTATTTCATTTTAATACTAGATCTAAGACTAGACTTTAAAATCAAATCTGAACATTTTTTGAAAGATCTAAAAAGCCTCTTAAACTTTTTTCCCCTCTCTCTCTAGTTGTGTCAGGTGATGTCTCCCTTTAGACATGAGACAGGAGATGTGTTTCAGTGGCGGTGGATTGTGTATCAACTCAATACTTTCCATACAGCAACTCAGAGATAGAGTAACACTGTCTGGACTCACTGTAAGTGATGGAGTGATGTGGCGAGAGAAAGTGAGACCATATTTTGATGAGTTTGAAATATTGGTGCTAGTCTGTCAAGATCTTTTCACGTGTGACCTTGCTGCTGCTTGGGTTTGATGCCGAGGAAACAGGTAAGTGTGTGTTTGCTACTAACCACCTCGTCGAAGTCCTGACTCACCTCTCCGCTGCCAACAGGTTCAATCCCGTATGAGAAGTTCCCATCAGAGAACATCCCCCTGAAAATACAAAAACAGTGGTAGGTTACATTATCCTTGGCAGCCAGAGTAGATAGGAACATGTAGGAGTTGGACTTATTGTACTGACAGTCCTGGAATTTGGGAGGGAGAAGAAGAGTTTTTTTAAGTAAAAAAAAAAAAAAAAACAGGCGTGAGAGCAACTATTCTTCAATTTTTATGTGTAATTTTCAAATAAAGTGATAAGGGGGAAATAATTTCATCACCACCTGAAGACTTTTTACGAAATCAACTTTGAGTTCCCAAATGTTTTCGCTCCGCAAGCTTTGGAAAGTTTTGGTTTAATTCACTAAATAAAAAAAATTCCCCAAAAAATAACAAAAAAAAAAAAAAAAAAAAAGAAGAAAAAAAAACACCACACACTGACTGAGACTCGATGTCAGGTGAAGTGACAGTGAAAGTATTGGACTCACCGCAGGCCGTGGCAGGTGGACAGAGCAGCCCAGGAGCCGGGCAGCCCCCGCACTCGCCCGTGGTAGTAGCAGTGCTCTCCCCCCTGACAAACAAATCATATATGTCAGTGAGACACCAAACCCCCCCCCCCCATCATCCAGTAACATGTTCATGTCAGATGCCAGAAAATGAAACCAACACTGACTGTGTGAACCCCTCTCTACATAAACACAAAGCAGGTATTTACTGTCAGCCCGGGGCCTACAGCTGACCTGAAGGATATCAGTGACCACTGTACGACTCTGGGGAAACCTACACCTGCAGAGCCTGCAGCTGAGTTGGGTTTCAGCAAGGAAAAGCTGCGTGTACAACAATATGTGTGTGTGTGTGTGTGTGTGGGTTTGAATGACGGAGAGATCAATTAAAGAGCAGGAAGGCCAGGGGTCAAATGGGAGAAACTTAGCGACGGAGTCCAGTTTCAGTGTAAGTGTGTGTGAACAAGTGCAATGTGAATTAAATCCAGAGTTTAACTTCAAACAACACGGTCTCTAACAAGAAAGTCTGTTCAGGTGTTTTTAAAACAAAATCACAATGTTTCATGTGCAGTGTCAGACATGTTTAAAAAAATAATAATACCAGTAACTACTAGCACTTCCTTAAACATGGGGACTTGCAAGAGACAGATTAAACAAAGGACAATAAAAATCAATGTAACGAAGGCCAAGATATCCTGGCTTTCAGTCACTGGATCCTACACTTCCCAATACGCAACTGTTTTTAAAGGCTGACTGGTAAACTGACATTGACATTTAAAATTGGTGGCGCGTCCCTTTAACACAGGTTAAAATAAACTGTATCAGGTGTGTGTGCCAGTTTCAGCTCATACTTTCAGATTGACAGTGCTGCTAGAAGGTGTAACCTGTACACTCCGCTTCCAGATACCTTCACCTGATTTTCATAATCCCCTGAAAGGCGGCACCTGGATGATCATGTTTTGAATATAGTGTTTCAATGCCGCCTCTCACAGTACAGGAATGATCAGATTGCTCGTGCTTAAATATGCGAGCCAGCAAAAGTTGTGGAGAAGGAAATAAATTGTACATGGTAGACAGAAGTGCACTCAGGAGAGGGTTTTTAATAATCAAGCAGGCCTCATCTAAGTGGATGGAGATTCACATCTTTGTTTGTAGCTAACTACAGTGTGAGAGAGAGAGAGAGAGAGAGAGAGAGAGAGAGAGAGCGAGAGAGAGAGAGAGTCAGTTTCAGGTGTTTGTAATGAACCCCAATAAAGTCATGTCTGCCACCTGAGACTGCTGTTGTCTGGCACAACTGACAGCCCAAAAAGAAAAGAGGCTTTCCTTTATGCGTCGTCAACCTTTACTCCGAGCCAGCGATGAGCCTGCAAAAAGTTATTTCTCATCAAACGGTGTGCGTAATGTATTTTGCGGCTTTATCTTGGATCAAAGACACACTGCTGTACTCTCACTGGGAGGATTTGTCTGACATTTCCGCTGGGATCTGCTCTGAGGTGGACAAAATCACACATAGTCAGCCGGGCTCCCTTTGATGAGAAATCAATGGCTGACCGGTTTGTCAGACAACTACAGCATTCCCCTCTGGTCTCCCATTGGTTATACTCAGCCATGAGGGGAAGATTGAACTGGATTGGGAGGGGGGTATGAATATATTTTTGTTCTAGTATTTTAACTTGATCTGACTCAGGATGTCATTAGAAAATTATAGAAATAAAAATACCTAAGCTCCAGATATAAAAGGTACAGCTAAATTAAACACAAAATAAACATTTTGAATTCAAAATCTTACATCAACATCACTACAAAAAAACGTACTGTAATCATAATTGGTGATTTAATTATTATGATTTTGCTGGTAAAGCGTATTTAGATTCAGCATCAGTTCATCTGTTGAGGAAGAAAGGGACTTTCATCAATCATATCGCCTAGTTAGACAACCTACAGCACTTAGCCCGGGGCAAGATAATAAATAAATAAAAGGTAGGATTACAAGGCTAAATGGAGGAAATCAAATTGCTTGACACAGCAGACACGCACTGGCTGTGAGGACCTGAGCGTGCTTTTCAGACGAGATGTATGAGCTTCAAATAATGATCACTCACACATGCAAGCAAACCAAATGTACAAGAAATCATGGATTAACCGTGAAATATCATCAGCGCTGGGAGGTCAGGGACAGGTGAGCTGGACACTACATTAGAAGTGAATGACTGTGTGAATGAAATAAAAACTGCTTGCCCACACACAAATGGAGGCAAATAAACAGTCACGACCCACAGAGACGAACGGATTAAATTTGACATTATCAACTCTAACTGAATTAGACGAGCTGGAGTTTACTCCATGTCTGAACTTTGACTCAGCATTGTTGAGCTGAGAGGAGCGGAGGAAAGGTAATGAAACACCTGGAGCTAATGTAAAGTGAAAGGAAGACGTGATACAATGGAGGCATCAGTCAAGAATATTAGACATCCTCAATGAGTAAGAAGCATGTTTCATTTGTAAAAAGAGTTTGTATTAAAGCCACACTGGCAGGTAAATATCATCAATGCCCAGGTACTTATATAATTATCTAATATGCAATGATGCAAGCTGATGCATTAGTCTGTCAATAACAGGATAAGTAGAGTATTGTATCAGTGTCAAGAACTTCGATGTGTTCTCCATTGACATCTTGTATGTTTTGTGCCAATTACAACATGCCATCAATAGTTTGCTCAGTGCTCAGACTCAGGGTGTTCAAAACTGATTTTGTGATTTCAGAGAATGAGAAACAAATCTGCTGATTTTGTCAGGAATCAAAGAAACCGGCATTTCTGCAGGACACTGACAAATACATAAAACAGCTCCCATCAATCTCAGCCCATCCTCATCCCCAATTCAATTCCTCTTTTAGTCATGTGTCATTGGGATCCAATTCGAATGAGACAGTCACCAGCTCAGAGCAATAGCATAGATCCACAGGGACCAATAAAAAAAACTGACACACAAAGGCAGGAGGAATATATTGGCACGTCAATAAAACTAAATAAATCAAGATGGAGAGGGAGATAGTGGTGGTGATGGGGGGAGGGGGCGGCTTCCAGCAGGCCGAAAAGAAAATGTCCATGTAAGCAATTTGTGCGTTCTATGGTGTAAATTCACCAAAGATGTGTGTAAGTGTTTGCAAGTATTTGCATGTTGAGTTCATGCAGCAGTTCAGACATACAGATATAGTATATGATGCTAACTGAGATCTGCCAATCATTTTATATTCATTGTATAAATGGTTTTAAATGTGTTAATGTTTTTTTCTGCTTATTTTACTAAGACTAGTATTAATCCAACCATATTTATCTAAATTTTAACTCTATATGGTCTCCATAAAGATCATTCCACATATGTGGCTTTTCTTCATCTGATGGACAAAATTTATACAGCTTACGACTTTAATGAATTTATTTGTGCCACATTTCTAATTCTTTGAAAAGCTTTTGCCACAGAGAATAAGGACACATTCTTCCGTACATAACTTGGGTTAAAATTGTTTTCATGACAGAGTGTATTTATGGTTTAAAAATTTACTCCCGGGGTGTCCTCCTGATGACCAAATGGTTAGGGCACATACCATATGGGCATATTGAGCCCTGAGCAGCAAATCCCTGCTACGACTCCAGAATCTGCCGGATCCTGCACTGCATCTCTCTCTCCTGTATTTCCTGTCTCTCTCTTCAGGCATAAAATCTGCCCAAATACAAGTATCTTCCATGTTCCCCCTGACATTGGCTCACGAAATATTTAAAAAAAAATCCCACTTCATTATTCTAAGCGGCAATGGGACATAGCTTTCCAAACATCTTACTAACTTATGGCAATCTTTTTCTCAGAATGACATCTTTCTGCAAGTCCTATATAACACGTAATGATAACTTTTTTCTTACATAATCTCTTTTGATCTTTGATAATATGATTATTGTTTTATTACGTATTACATTGAGATAATGAATAAATTCGTTAGGGACTTCTCCTACTTCCCTGTGGCACAATACGCCATATTTTTTGTGTGGAATAAAGATGGTGCCAATAATACACATCTGTTTCCAAAGGTCAGGTCAGAGGGAGGTTGTAAGATTTGGATTAGTCGTTTCTGGAAATGGACATGATTTCAATTCCACTCACGACATGACAAAGTAGACCCACGCTGCTGCTGCTGCTGCTGCTACTGCTGCTGACTGCTGGTTACCATGGCAACCAACTACTGATTGGTCAGGTGGTCTTTGGCAGAGGAAAAGGGGTGTGAAGGGGAGACAGAGAGGGATAGCGAGACAGAGACAGACAGAGGGAGGGACAGAGACTAATATAAAGCAGAGGATACAGACAGAAAGAGACTGTCTCCCAGATGGTTTTGAGAATCAAGCTGTCTGCATTAATGGCCTGTGTCTCTGAGCCTGTGTAAACACACTGGACTCAGAACGTTACTGTAGGACAGTTTGTACAAAATTATACTGCATGACAGAGAGGACAACGTCAGCATTTCAATCATTAATCCTGATGCAACTGCAGCTAGAGCTGGAGACATTTCTAAAGATGCAGGATGAGGTGTGGATTAAACCAGAGCCTGCAGCAAAACATACAAGCTCACAGTCAGGAAATATCTCCATAGCCATTCACACAAGCCTTGAGTACTTCAATTTTCAAAAAAAAAAAAAAAAAAAAAAGTAATTCAACATTTGCCATTTTTATAAATTTCTGCCTTAGGGTCAAGTTGAACAAATAGTGCTGCTATTGGTCATTGATTCTTTTCAATATCTCTCAGCGAGAATAACTGCCTCAGAAACATGTTCCAAAACACTCTGGACAAAAGAGCTATACTGTTGTAGGCGCTGGCACAAAATCAATTTCTGTTGAATTGACTGGGATGGTAAATTAGCTTCACTTACATTCTGACAAAAAATGAAGATGCCAACATTTAGTGTAAAGACTGGAAAGAGAGGGAAATGGCTAGTCTGGCTTTGTTTGAAGGTACAAAAGCTCATTAAGTATCACTTTATATCTAATTTGTTTAATCCATATAAAAAAAGTCTTTCTGCTAAGCTAAAATGACCAGCTGTAGTGTTATATTTACTACACAGGCATGAGAATGGTGTCAATTTCCTCAGACAACTCTTAAGCATATTCTCTATAATGGTAAAACAGCTTCGATAAGATTGTCCTACCATACTCTGTGATGGCTTCCCATCCTCGCCATAGTGACGCTCCACATAGTCTGTAGACAGGAGATTGCTGGAGAGAAGAGGAAAGTGAGAAGAACAATTATTCTAACAATCACTTCAACCTGAATTCAATACTTCCATAATAGTTTGAAAAAGTAACACTACAGCACTGTGTGACTATTACAGGCCATCATAGGTTATTATTGTGGAGTGCTATTTAACAGAATATCAATCAGCATCAAACATTATGAATCTCGCCAGTCTAGATCAACAAAAGGCTGATTCATAAGTAAAACCAAAATGTGTGAAGTCTGATTTATTCTAAGTGCTAAGTAACAGCCAGTGAAAGGTGTTACATAAATGCAGTCCATTAGAGGAAAATATGTGTCGTGTAAGGGGGGGGGGGTACATTTAGTAAGGTTTAGCCTGCAGGCAGCCTGAATAATGCCAACACACAGGACATACAGTAGGTGGGCAGCAGACACAGATCAATTTTTATTTGTATAGCGCCAATTCACAACATACGTTATCTCAAGGCACTTTCCAAATAGAGCAGCACCTTCTTTTTATAATGATATTTCACACAGATGAAGAAAGAGAGGCGGGAAGAGTGAGCATGTCAGTGACTGCTGTAACCACTGAAGGGTTGTTTGCTGGATCTGTGCCGCGGATGTGTCGACTTACTGGTTGAGCTCCAGGTCAAGGATGAAAGATGTGCCGAAAGCCTCCACCAGGAAGCTGCTCTGGGCCAGATGGACCGGCTGGAGGGAGACACGGAGGAAGGAAAAGTTGGGAGGAGGAGGCGTGAGAGATAAACAAGAAAACTGAATGAGAAATTGATTAAACTAGTAACTATGAACTGAATCCTATTAATTATGTCCACCAGCAGATGTCCATTCATGGAGGTTTACAGAAAAAATGAGCACTGAGTCGGGACAAGATCGTTCACTTGGTAAATCTATGCAATTCTTAGAAACCAATGACCTTACTTTATCATTTGCAGCTTTTGCTATGCTGTGCCCTAATTCTATACAAACTGTTCACAGTATGTGCTATATAGTAATCTTAATAGTGCACTGTTAGTAAACACGACATCACCATACTTGTGTTTTATACCAACAGGAAAAGATACAACACTTGTGCCTTGGATGTCAATCTGCCACAAGCACTTCATCATATGCTCTGTATCATTTCTTCAATCTATTAAATGGTTCATTTTATACAAATTTTCCCCAAATCCCACCTGTCAGTTTTGATATATTTGAAAACTTTGGGACCTACATTAGAATTTAAAACAAACTTGTGTGTGTTCTGGCTGCAAAACACAGTTTGAAACAACTGACCCACTAGAGGTGGAGTGGAGTGGAGGAGGGAAGAAAACTGATGGATGTTCAATAGGGAATAAGTTAACAGCATGAGTAGAGAACAAAGCAACACAGACTCAGATACTAAGGGACGTCCTTCTTCTGTGACCTCTCCCTGATGGCGACACAGCCTCATCCACCTTCTTGGATAAAACTCTACACTGGGGCTCATTGGCTCCATATAACCTTGCTCCAAGGTGAAACCCATCTACATTATAAGACAGAGCTCTGTGGTGGCTCCCATCAGTATGTACTGGCCAGCTGCAAGGCAGGTCTCATTAGTATTACCTCTGCAACCACTTAGTTTCACTCTAATCCTCCATTTTTTTTTTTTTTTTTTTTTATCATATTGCATTTTTCATTTGAACATCAAATCCCAAATATTTAAAATCTTGCAATATGCTGTAATATCTCAGCTCAAGACACAGCATCAAATAGTCCATAGGCACAAATGGGCTGATTAAAAAAAAAAAATATTATCAGTTACTAAACTCTATTTGCATGTATACAACCTCTCAAGTACGAGCGTAAGCTTGATATTGGTGAGGCATAAGCATTATTTGGGTTCTGGTAAATTGTGGTGAGTGATCGTCAATATTTTCAACCTTTTTTAAACATTAAAACATTGATAGATTAATAAAAACAAAACAGGCTAATTGACCAGAAGTTGAACCCCTACTTGTTTTGAGAAAGAGATTAGTTTACAATTACACTTCCCTTCAAATGAGATACAAGAACCAGATGCTGTGACACTCTTCATCTTTCTTCTTCTGTAGACCAGTTAGAGATCACAGGAAACAGATTTAACTTCAGGCCATTGTATCTACAACCACTCTGAAATTTAAACCTACATTAACAGATTTTTTGGCCTGTTTTTATGGTTTTTATAAGTTGAGCATGTGTACTTGTCAGCAACTAGTTAGCTATTACACACAGAAGAGGAACAGAGGCACATTAGCACTCTTTTGGAGTCACAGATGTACATTCACTCTTATTGAGCTTAGTTTGGTCTCCACGAACTCCTGAGGAAATATCTGGCTCTCCAGCAGCTAAATGCTTGACTACATTCACCAACGAGGTTGATGAGAGTGGTGAGAGTGGATAAACACTGTAAAGTCGCGTAAGTAAAAATTCACTATGGGTAAGCCACCACAAGAACCATCTGTCACATTACACGTAGACATTTGATCCATTGTTAATATAAAAGCGTTGGTTATAGCAGCTTATATTCTGGAAAAAAATGACTTCTTGTCTTTTTATTGGGTGACAGCAGTTAAGCGGCACACACCTCCCAAACAACTCCTGCAGTCTCAGGAAAGAGAGGCCATGAGACAACACTCTGGCCACAGAGGGCAGCCCAAGGTCAGACCCGTGTCATATCCACTGACTGACTGACAGGCGGTGTTTATAGGGAAGGTAATGAGAGAGGACCGGTAGAGGTGTGAAATATAATCTAATGGGGTGGAGAGGAGGAGGCTGCAGAAGCAGCGGTGGGCTGAGTTTTTTTTTCCTGCCTTGCTCTGGTCCGGGCGAGCTGGGCATGATGTCGAGGGGTGTCACAGGGTGGGGTAGGAGTGACAGACACATGAGCTCCAAGGAGAGGACAAACAGAGGTGAACCAGGGCCTGACAGAGAGCAGGTGAAGGGTAGAAATTGTTTTAGAAACCAGCAGTCTAAAGGTACTTTAACAATGTTTTTCTCTCCATTTTTTTTTCCATTTTTATGTATTTCTACTTATTATATAACTTTTTTCTTCCACTGTAGATATTCCTTGTTTTATTTTAAGGTTAAGGAGCGGGTGTTGCAAAAATAGGAGCATACCGTACACTGTGGGGACATGCAGTATATTTTGATATGTGGCTAGACTATATAGCTGTGCCTGCATAGTGCATATGTTTAAACAATGAAGATAAAGTAATAAAAACTACATCATTAAGATTTAAGGGCCAAAATAAACAATCTAAGAAAATTTGAACTAAAACATGAACATTCAAAATGGATAGAATATCTGTTGTGCAGTAGAGTGGTGTAAGAGGAGGAATATATCTCATTAAAAATATCCTCAAATCAGTCATCAGTCAAATGTGTAGATTCACACACTTATCAACTTCAGCTCCTTCCTTGTTCAATTGATTTTAAGTTTCACTGATGGGAGAATTCACTGAGTAGGTGATGGCTTACAGAGGTTGGAGAATTGGATGAAACCTCTTCATCATCTCCTTTAGGTTGGAGGAACCAAATAATTCTTCACAGGGTGAGTGAGTATACTCTGAGAAGATTAATCAAAGTACCCTTGAAGTCAGTCCTTCACTCTCAGGAAACATGAACGAAGCTTGGTCACAATTTGATCTCAGTGATTACTGTATGGGACGAGTAGAAACTGAGGTTAAATGAAGAGGAATGGCAATAAATGTGTTCTCGGTTCTGGTGGTTTGGAGCATGCATGGATGTTAAGCCTGTCAAAGGTGCAGGCAACACTCACCTGCGCCCCGGCTGTGTAGTTTTTGACCCGGGTGTCCAGGCGGCTGTGGAGCAGCTCCTCCTGGGAGTGGATCTGTTGCAGGAGCCGCTTGGGCTGAACGACCTCTTCTGCGGGCAGCAGCCTTTCCTCAAGACTCGCCCATTCCCTCAGACCTGCAGAGGACAGAGGAGGTGTTTCAGTGCACAGGAAGGTGGAGGTGTGTGGGGTTCTGAATCTGGTGTTAAATGTCTTATTTCTGCAGCACACTCATAGGATTCTGCAGCTGATCGTGAGCTGCTTGTTGACACCGATGCAACAATTACACGGTCCTAGTTACTAGAGAGCGCAGGCTGAGTGGACGCAGTTACTGCCAGAAAACGCTCTAGTTCTTCGTTTTGTCAATGATTATCTGAAACAAACTCAATCTTGAGGTAAAAGCAAAGCGTCGGAGCCTCTTACCTGTCACGGCGCACCGTGCACACACTGCAGCGAACAGCAGGCATCTCACAGCGAGCATGATGCTCACATAGTCCCAGTGATTTCCCCGGTGCGGCGCCGTTAAATGAACCGACAGGAGCCGTGAGCGGAGCTGCAGCAGGACTGTTGTTGACAGTGAAGACAAACACAGCAGCGGGGATCCTTTACACACGGCGCCCGCATTTCTCACCTCCCTTTCCGCCTCTAGCGAGTTAAAAGCACTCGGACGAAGCTCCACCGCCCGGCTCCAGCTGCATGTTGTGTGTCGGTGTCACCGAGCTTTCGCTCTCTCTCCTCTCTCACTATCTCTCATGCACACACAAACCACACACATACACACGACATAAACACACTCTCTTTCGGCCTAACGTTGGCAATCCCGTTTGAAAGCTATGAGGCTGCGCGAGGAGCGGTTGATCTGGGATCAAGCAGCACGTGGGGATTGACAGACCCACCCACCCTCTTTGATAAGATCTGAAGGCTCCAAAACTACTATGGTAAAACCTGATGTAATGAACTACAACTCAGATACTCTCACCATGAGCTATGTGGCCCTTTAATCTGCCCCTTTTCTTTTAATTATAACTAAAAAGTAGGTTATAATATTTGTTAATTACAATTATTCAAACAATCTTGATCAACAATGTCTTTGTCATTCATTTGCACCAGCTGCAGCTCATTGATATATCAGTGAGTGATTCACTGAAACCTTGAGTTTTGGTTAATACCTGTCTCAAGATCAGTCCTGCCTAAGGGTTTGAATTTTTTTTCTTTACTAAATTATTTTTTGATCTTTGCTTGATACTTTCACCCTTCGAGTCCCAGAAGCAAAGACTTACTCTCAGGGTGAACTGCTCACAGCTCGTCTCCACAGTTCAAACCTGTGATGAGTGTTAAGGGGTCACAAGCTAAAACGTTGGTACCCACTGCTATAGATTCCCCATGCAGTTGCCGTTGGTTACACAGAAATGGCTGCATTAGTATGGCACTTTTATTCAGAGTGCTTTTCTGTTTTGCTGCTCATTCACACACCAATGGCAGCAGTCCATCAGGAGCAATTTGGGGTTCAGTGTCTTGCCCAAGAGGGAACTTGGGTTAAAACCACGTGCCGTGTGTTTAGTGGACAACACTCTCTACCTACTGAGCCACAGCTGCCCATATTTAACGATTCAATCCCCATTTCGTAATCACAGTATCACACAGACATCTTCTGCAATTTAGGCATTTCAGGATACATTTAGGTGCTCACTCCGCACTGCATTTTGAATATCTTACTTTTCTTCTAAGTGTTATACCATCATGTTGAGACAGAACGTTCACTCTTGACTTTGACAGAGAGCTGCTAAAACTGATGAGATAAATTAAAGTGAGATGTTTCTGACCTCATCACAGCATCTGGAAACACTTTTCAGTCTACATTTAAATATATAACTGACTCTTCTGAACAAAAATCACTGCTGACTATAATCCATCCACAGACCCGCCTGTCTGCAACCCTTCACACAAAATCCTATCAAATAGGAGTCTGTAGACAGATGTGCCAAGTACTTAGACCAGAATTGTATCTCACTTGAACTTGAACCCTCAGCTTCCTGTTGAAAATTACACCCTCACAAGACACAATTCCCACATTCCTTTCCACTTCCCATCAAAGACTTCAGTATACAACAACCAAAAAGTCTCTTAAGTTAAAGGGTGGGATTGTTCTCCCTTCTTCAGTGACAAGCTGCTGTGGTTTCGTTCAGGGCCACTCACACAAAGGATCCCTTCATTCCAACACGTCTAAAAAGTTAAGGGTTATGCAACAAGGCATGGAGATTAGATTTCAAATATTGTTTGTGTCAGCTGGAAGCTGGGACGATGAGCCAAACAGGACACATCGACCCACTGCTGCCCTTTCTCTATCCTTGCCTCCTTTTTTGGCTCTCCTTTACTCTACAAGCAGTGTCAGCATTTATTAAGAAAACAGGAAAAATTACATTCAGCATACCCCCACAGTTCTTAACTTTTCTTTACCCGAGAACAACTTTCTCTAAAGCACGTCGCAGAAAATGTTTAGGGTTAAAAACATTTATTTAAAAACCACTGTACAAGATTTGACTTCACATTTTCCTACGAGAACTGCTCGTCTTCCACATACTGAAATCATCTATTGTTTCTTTGCTTGTTGGATTCTGCACTTGTGTTTTGAATGTCCATGTAATACATTCAGAAGGAGGTGTGATTTATAGGCAACATGAGGTTTTGAGTTTTGTCTGCTATGGTAAGCAGTCTTTAATGGTAAGTCAAAAACTGACAAGTGAAGATAATAAACCTCCCCTTAGCTTCAGTGCACTGCTGTGAAGCCCTTGTCTCTTCTTGACAAAGCTAGTCCTCTGGCCCAACTTCAAAAGGCAGAAAAAGCCGTTTGACATTAATCAGACCGTTTGCCTCACAGGTTGTGTGAGTCTTCCACTCCGCTAACGCCTCGCCTGTGTGACCATCAACGCCGGTGAAATCGGGATCTGATCCAGACGCAGCACTTACAGTAATTGAGTAATGCCCCCTTCAGAAAAGCCTCATTAAATTCTCAGTACCACCATGTGTTCCCGGACATAGCTGCTTCTGAAAGACCACAGTCAGCACAACATATACAATATTGCCTGGGCTCTGTGCACAAGGAGAAATAGGGGTTGAGAGTAAAAATGGTAATGGATGCTCTTTAAATTGATGGGAAGATGCAGGATCCACTATGCATCTACTACAATAAAGAATAAAAAATGTGCATGTCTAAAATCATCTGAGCATTACATTTTAGTTAGCAAGTTTTAAATATTTATTCAGTGTACAGTTCAGTGGCTTATTTTGAAGAGCTTACGTGCCGCGTTATGCTGTTTCTTGAGTTGGGATACGCAGCTGAATAGTTAAAGACTTGCTACTCCAGGCGCTTTATGCGTCTCCCAGTTGTGGTTCTTCCAGTTCTTTCAAATGATAAAGAAAATAATCATCAGTGCTGAACCTCAACAATCTGTACCACAGTCCTGGAAAACACTGAGGGGTCCATTTCCTCCCCACATAGTGACGTCGCTGGAGTTGCAGGCTGAAGGACAGTGTGCAGACGTGACTCATAGCTGGTGTCGTGCATCCAGGTGCACGGCCTGTGGAGGAGTTCCTTGTCCAGCTCACAGCTCTGCTCAGTGTGCAACTGAGGTGCAGCTGAGGTCGGGCCGAGCCTTGACAGCAGGTGACAGTCCCAGTCAGAGTCTGATGATGACGGAGAGAGCGTGGCTAAGTCCGGTATCAGGGCTGACTCGATGCACACTGAGGTAGAGTGGGAAAGTGAACGCTGAGAGTCTTGGCTGGAAAGCGCACTGCGAGATTTTTCGTTGGGGAACCGAAGTGAAGGATCAGAAGCCTTTGCTTTTGACAGAGCAGCTACAGAGGTGCCACCATGACCCAAAATGTCCATTTGACTTGATGCAGATGTGAAATTCTGTACAGTGGGAACACAGAATGTGGTAAAAGCATGTTTTAAATCAAGTGTTTCCACCATGCATGTTGAAGAGACCTCTGGGTGAGGACTGTTCTGTATTATCTGACACGAGGCCATGTCAAATAATGAACAGCCCTCAGGCTTTGCCATAATGTCACTTTGTGGTTTTGTAGATGTATTCCCTTGTTCAGTCCATCTACAATTGTAGCCAAATTTCACTGTAATCCTCCTCCTTTTGCTGTGGCTGCATTCAGGGCTGGCTGATCGACAGCGTTTTTTGGGGTTTGGCGTTGTAACTGACTGTCGAGGCAGGGATCGGGATCTATGTGTAATCAGTTTATCACACTTTAAAACATTGCTAGAGCATATGATCTTACTGAATACTAGAAGATCATCTTGGTTTGATCCCTTCACGTCTTCTGCATTTGTTACAGCCACAGACGGAAGACGTGGGATGAGGAGAGGAGCTACGACAGCTGAGACAGACTCAGACAAAGTCTCTGCTGTGTCCATTTCACAAATGAGTCCTTCCACAGCTTCCTCTGTAATGCACGGTTGAGGACTGAGGACAGGGGGCTCTGAGTAGGGGCTGTGCAGGATGTAGGAGGAATAAGGGAGTTGTGGGCTGAGGGCTGGGGGCAGGGAGTAGGGGTCAGGGGACGGACATGGGGTCCCAGGACAGAGGGACAGCTGCTGGCTGGCTGAGGCATGGGTTTGTGGTTCAACATCCAATACAGGCATGGCTGGGCTTGAAGCATGAGGCTGGATATCGGGAAACTGGCAGTCTGTAGGAGGGAGAGCCTGGATGTCAACAGGTGGAGTGGCTGGACATGGGGGGGGTGACTGAACTCCTGCTGATGGGCTGGCAGGGCCAAAGGAAAGAGGACCTGTAATAAGGCTGGAAATGTGAGTATTAAACAATGAATCCTGTCTGCGCAGGGCCTGAACAGCACACTCCGTCTCCACATCAGTGAGAGGCTCCAGTTCACAGATGTCCTGGATGGGCAAAGGAGTTGGTGGTCTAGGAGGAAGACATCAAAAATCCTCATTTCAAGCACAGAAAAAACAATGTGTTCCAACTAAAAAGAAGAATGCACAACATTTGGACATCACTAGGTAATAATCAAACTCACCTGTTCAAGGTTTCCTCTGATTGTTGAGAGGGATAGGGGTTGAATCCTGGAAGCATTTCAGCCACAAGTTGATCCACAGCACTGTAGCTGGAAGGATCCAGCACAAACTTACGATGCTGATCAGACTGTAAGTGCTGCAAAGACCAACAGAGACCCCATCAAACACTACAGCACAGATGTATACAATGAAACCAAAAAAAACAAACATTTTTTTAATCTGTCAAGTCACAACAAGAACATTTTCAAATGATTCCCACCTCGTCCAGATTAGTGAAGGGTTGATGACAGCATTCACAGTATGACGTGTCCTTTTTGCGTTGCCGCCATGGTGAAGGGTTACAGTTGAGTGGGGTTTGGGATTTGTCCTGGATGCTGCTTTCAACTTTTTTCTTCTCCCTAATCAAAAAATAATTATTATGATAAATAGAGTTTTTCATATCATTAAACAAAACTTTCTAAATGGATTTCAGTCTTTTTTTTTTTTTTCCTTTCTCAGGCAGGAAATAAACTTGAATTGTTTGAGACTTGAATCACACAGCGATCCAAAGACAGTTGAACTAACCTTGTTTTTTCTTCTTGCTCAGTCCATTTTTCAAACTGAGGAGGAGGAGGAGATTCAAAGGGACTAAATCGGCCCAGGTAGCACAGAGATGGCAAGGTCATAGACTGTATATGCAAGGGCTTGTATTTCCTGGTTAGATAATGAAAATGACAGAATTTAAAACACAAAATATAAATTAAATGTTTTAGCATCAAAGAAGAAATTAAGAAGAAAGGACAAATTACAATGCAATGACACCGCACATCTGAATGCAGACAGAATATTATGACTATGTACTATATTATTATCACTATTATATTCTCATACTGAAAAATATTTCTGACTACTTTGCAAAACTGAACATCTGATTACACAACTGAGATCGACACCAGCTGGGCTAATTTTCGACTGTTTCAGATGTCATGGGTTCAGTTTCCCACTGCAATGGCCCACACATTAACCAGAGCACTTCAATTAACTGAAATGAGAGGGCAAATGAAAAGAACTGTTAACACATAGACATCCCCAGCAGGAACAGCCAGTGAAGCTTGCAAAGCCTCATCGAATAGAAATCGAATCCGCTTGAGCGCTGGACTCCTGGGGAGCGACATCACCGGGGGGGGCATGTCACATTACACGACGGGACTCCTTAACAGTTTCAATTAAGAAAATCATCTGGGCTGAAATGCAAACCTTCAGAACTAGTGCCCAGTGGGGCAGGAAGGGCAGAAACACAGAGACAGGTCACTGCCGCATATTGTCATTTCACTGTCATGATGCTTTAACTGCAACAAAGAATCTAACCTGATACTAAACAATCATTATATGAACCTGAGCAGGCCTAAAACGTAATTTTGAATTCCGGCTTGAGTGACTGGGATCCAAAACAGAGGATTAAAGAAGAGGATTGTGCTGTCTTTGTATTGCCCCTCCTGTGCTCGAGAAAAAATAAACAAACTAAATGGGGGATGAAACTCACCTGCTGAAGTCTTCAATTTTAAGATATGGAGATCTTAAAGCTGCAGCTGTGCACCAGGAGAAATAAAGAGGAAGAGAAAAAGTAATACAATTACCCCCAAATACGCCAACAGAAATACAGTATTTTTGGGAAATAAACACATTAGCAGCACAAAAACATAAACCAACCTTTGACAACATGAGAACCTTGTTGTTTGGTGTAAGTCCTCTGCATAGAAAAAGGAAAATTTTAAGTAAGACTCATTAATCTTAAAGAGCAAATGTCAATGTACATATATAACAACAATTTCAAAAGTTCTTCTGTTATTTCTTCATAACCCTGACAGAGTTAATTCCATTTTATTGGAACCTTCTTTAACTTAACTCCTATCTTTCCTGAGTCTCAAAATGCCATTTTGCTTTTTACCAATTCATTCATGAAAGATTTACCTGCTCGATTTCTTGACATAAAGTTGCTATACGTGGATGTTTGGTGAAATTAAATCTTACCTCTGGCCTCTTGTGTTTCATGCTGAAGCTCTCTCGAGTCAGTTGTTTCAGGTATAAAAGCACATCTGATAGTACATTAAGGAACAATACAACATTTTCAAACACTGTTCTGTGCTTGTACTAGTAAGAACAAAAAACTAAGCACTCATATGGTGCCATCTGCTGTAAAAAGAGCTTCACAGCACTATAGATGTGAACACATCCAAGACAGACACTGACTTAAGAGCTTACATCGAATAATTTTGTACTGTTGATATGGAATTCCTCTGTGGTACACAAAAGGATACCATCCGCATACAAAATCTTCACTCCCCACGATCGAGCGTTGGCCAAAACACTGCTACCCTGCAGTCGTTCCTACAACACACATCCATCAGAATCAAGTCAAGATGACAAACTGCGTCACTCTTCAGTATAATATCACCAATATCCACAAACGAAAACTTAAAGCCTGTACATTTACAAGATAAACCATATTCTGGCTGCATTGACTTACATTGTTGCGAATGGCTTTTTCAAGCAGAGCCTTCCCACGGCTGCCACAAGCCTGAAGAGACAAGACACAGATTTACACTCTATTTCACTCTAGTAACACCCACAGTGATATTTTCCTAATGTGTCATTGATGAAAAAAAGATTAACACAAACAGTATTTGTTTTTGAATGTAGCGTTCTCATAATTTCTCACATGAACTAAAAAGCATCTAAGTATTTAACATTTTAATCCTAAAGCAAGAAATTTATACAATGAGTAAAAATAAATACAGAAATTTTCACCGACACCAAAACAAATACTAAAATCATTCCAGCTGATTTTTGTGATGTCAATATATATTAATTAGGACAATTACAGATTATATAAATATATAAAGGTTACATGAGTAACTGATGTTCAGTACCATTGGTCTAGGAGTTTCTGGGCGCTGTTTTTCACTGCTGAGGACACTCTCCCGACGCTTAATAGGATGTTGGGCTTCTTCATTTCTCCCCTTTGCCCCTCCCTTGGTAACCACACATCTCTCCTCCTTCAGAACCTCTTGGCTTCCAGTCACAACAAAGTTTACGTCCTTGTGCAGGAAACTTTCAACCCTCTTCAGCAGGAAAAAAAAAAGATCTATTCATCAGTGGCTGCTGAGAGATATCTTTCATAGTCAGAAGTTTAACTTGGGCTTCAGTAGGTGTACAACTGATGAAGAAACCAGTGTTAGTTGGGATGCTATCAGTTTAGCTAATACTCCAGTGAACTGTCTGCTGAAATCAGATCCATCAGACCCAAACTACCACATTTTTCTGACACTGAAGTGTTTTTTTCCCTCTGACACAAAATTTTAATCTGACAAAGCAAGGCAGATGAATGACAGTGCAGCCAAATCATGCTATTTTTATTTAAAATGCCACTGCCTAGATCAAAGCCTGATAATAAAGCTTGTACATAAACAACAACCACTGTTCACAGCATATGTAAAAATCATAGGATCCACACAAGCTTACCCCTCCTAGTAGAGATATGGCCTCCAAAAGCAGGGCTGTTGGGCGTTTCTTCACATTGTCAAGGTAAAACGTCTTCCCCTCCAGCTTCTTCTCCCCAGGACACAGTTTGCCTAGAAGGCCTCTCTCCTCTGCATACTGCTGCTTGTGCATGGTCCTGGGGCACTAAAGGAGCTCACAGCTTTACTGGAAAACACCAGAGTCCTACTTAAAAGAGGGAAGAAAACACGTGTTAATGAAATATTACAAGTCTGTATAATTGGTTGACAAACAGTAACTAAAAATATTTTATTATAGCTCTTCTTCTCTACTAACTATTTCTAATATCATTGCTTTCTCCAGAAGTCTTTGAGCAACTTAATACAAGTTCGCCAAAGTGAAACAAGAGTATATCAACCCATAACAAACAGTTAAATATCACTTTCTCAGAGGCAAGATTGAGGTAATAGTTTGGTCAAAACATTTCAAAACAATTTTACAACTTGCCATGGAAAAGTTCATCAGAGCATGCAGCGTTAGTTCACTATCAAACTACATACACAGTGCATGCATTAACATTGCCACCTTGCTATTTAGCTAACAAACTTAGCTGTGGTTAGCATAGCCTGGTAGTTGATCTCCGCTAGCTTAGCTTTCCTCAAAATAGACAACGCCGGGGCAAGAAAGAAAAACGTTTGGCTAGTTTGTAATGAATATTAATCGTCTGGTAAATCGTTTTCCACATCTTCGCGGGGGAAAAGGGAAATAAATACTTACGTTTAGTTACTATGTTACAGAGCTGCGATAAAGAAATTGTGGCTACTGATTCACCATAAGGTGGAGAGGCAACCGCCGCTTTTTTAAAAACACTGGCGGAGACGTCAACGTGAAGTTAGCGTAACATCCGGTAACGCTGCGTTAACGTTCATTTTACATCAGACACCTGTGATTATCAAATAGTAATATCATTGAGCAATAGGGTGAAACGAAATTAAAATCAACTTTGATTATCAGTCTGTTTCTTGCACAAGCCATCCTCGTACTTCCCCCTTAAAGTCCATTTCACGCTGTCTGCTGTATTTTTAAGTTTTACATAAGGTTGTGACAGTACCGTAAACGCAGCACAAAGGCCACTGGCCACTTAACAATTTCGCTACTTAGTTCATTTTTAGAGCTGAGGTATTTTTAATAACAGTAAAAATGTGGATTTAATTCAACAAACACTCGTACTTATAGGCTTTTGCAACTGAAAGAAAAGGAGACCAAGCACAGAATGAGATGGGCATCAATCATAAATATAGCCATGGTCTCTGTTCTGTTGTTCTCGGGTGCAGCTGTAGTTACAAACAAGTATACAAGTATAATCAGTTGTAATTTGTGTATGTAAATTAATTCTCCCCATCAATTTATGTTCTTCCCCTATCAGTTTCAACCAGCGGCTCAAACATTTTAGATACCACAGAAAAAGACGTTCGCCTTTGCCCAGCAGGGGGCAGTGTGCCTGTAAATACAGTAATTCCAATGAAGTGCACTGGCACCTTCAATCTTTCTATTTGCCTGAGATCACATGAATTAAATATATTCATTATTAGTTGAAAATGAAAAGTTCCATCCACAGCATTATGCAAACTTATATTAACATCATGTTTTACAGTCTGTCATGACACCAAATTTGTAAAATGTAAGACAGAGACAGTAAGACAAATACAAATTCTTTATTCAAAACATGCATTTTTGATTTAACAAAGTGAAACACTGGCACGGTGCCAAGAGAAAGCCGTCATGGCATTTGAACTTGAAAATCTGAGTATGTATGGATCAATGACAAGGAAGCAGACTCACAAACTAATGCACGAATGGACTAAAACCTTCATAGCACAAATTTCAAACAAACATCACATATATCAAAGATTGTAACAGGTTGACAACAAGACACTAACAGTCTGAACACTCTATCAAAGCATTAAAGAGAATGTCTCTTCTCTCTTCAGAAAATAACACAAACACTGTAAAATTACCAACTGAAAACATTACTCTCTCATTTTTCTTTATAGCTGGGAACACCATCAGTCCACATCAAACCTGGTTTCGTGAAAATAAAAACAAAATTTTGCATATTCAGTGTTTTAACCCCTGGATAGTAATGAAACTAACCACATAGACAGAAGGACTTAGCTTGTTTTCAGTCCATAGTGACAAATATGAAGCAGCTTTTTGACTGTTTAAAAAGGCACATTGGGTTATAGTATGGAAACCTCAGTATATCCACACTGAATCAAAGACAGCAATAACTGTGAAATAAAACTGTAAAGCACAAGCTGAGGCCACGAACATTTGTTGTTTTCCCAGAAGTGGAGTGGTTTGTTTTAGACCAACTTTATATTTGAACTATTAAAAATCAAGATATTACTACATTAATAAAAACAACCACTTTTGCATACTTGTGTAAACTGTCATCAAAAGTTTACATTAGAGAAAATATGTGTAATATATCCACATTAAAAGTGCTATTTATTATCAGTTTAGGTTTATGGAAGTGTGACAAAGTGTTTTGTTTTTAGTGGACAGAGCTAGCAGCGGGCTGGTACAAGGTGGTTCTTGGCACTAATTTTCACTTAGTATTTTAATTTCATGAATATCATTGAAAATAAGGTAAAGTGGCTGCCCTGTCCTTTTTCAATATGAATGTAAAGGAGGAGGAGATTAACGTTTTACGAATAACAAAAAGTCTTACGGTCTGTACTTCAGATCCACTCAGAGCCCTTTATCACTCCATATTTGCTGCTACTACTGGTGCTGCTGCTGCCTCTGTCTGCATCTGCCTTGCTCGAGGCGTGTTTGTAGGCCTGCCGTTGTTTACGTTCACGGTGAGGCTTGCTGTGATTGTTACTGTGGCTCTGAAGCTGGCTGTAGGCCTGATTGTCAGCTCCCAACATTTTCTGAGGCTGATGGATGTCCTTCTGAGCGCCTCTGGGGGCATCTCCCATACCCAGGTTGTCATCATTATTGGTGTACTGTTGACGCTCCTCGTGGGCAATATTAACATGGTTCTGCCGGCATGCTATCTTAGCATTAGCAAGATCAGTAACGGGAAGTGGTTTTTCATGGTTCCCAGTAGATACCAGAAGAGGCTTGATGGCAATGTTGTACCCTGGTGGAGCTGATGGTGTATTCCAAGAATAAGGGTAGCTGCTGTAATCCTCTCCTCTCAGTTGTGCCTCTTGAGGAGCCCCTTGTCCCTCTGTCAGTCCGTACAACTCATCATTAGGGAGCTGCACCAGGCGGGAGCGTACGATCTCACAGATGGTACCGATGCCCAAGTGAAGCATCTCCCATATATTGAGTGCCAGACAAAGCAGGGACACTGCGTACATGATGAGGAGAAAGATAGTTTTCTCAGTGGGTCGTGACACAAAGCAGTCCACACTGTTAGGGCAGGGCTGGTTTGAGCAAGTGTAGGTGGGAGGTACTGAAAATCCATAGAGAACATACTGTCCACACAAGAAAGCCACTTCCAGTGAGGAGCGGGCCAAGAGCTGAAGCACATAAATGCGCATCAATCCATCTTCTTTGATACGCTTGCGCCCATCATGCCGTGCCTTGACATTTGTTTGCCCTTCACCACTTCTTCCTGTTGCTGCTCTACCACCGTTGCTCTCCACCTCAGCCATTTCATAGATCATTGGATCGTCCTCTTGGTCTTTCTCAGCCTCTTCAATGCCACTATGCTGCTTTCTGGCTGCAAGATAGTGCTTCTTTTTCCTCCGTGAAAATCCACTCACCCCCCCACTGTCTTTACCCTGCTCATCTGCCCGAGCAATCTTGTTGACAGCGTAGCCCAGGTACATGAGTGAAGGTGTGGCAACCAGAATGATTTGGAAGACCCAAAATCGGACGTGTGAGAGTGGCGCGAAGGCGTCGTAGCAGATGTTCTCACAGCCTGGCTGACCTGTGTTGCAGACAAACTTGCTCTGCTCATCGTAGTAGATTGACTCTCCTCCTACAGCTGTCAGCACAATGCGGAAAACAATGAGGACGGTGAGCCAGATCTTGCCCACGAATGTTGAGTGGTGGTGGATTTCTTCCAGCAGGCGAGTCAAGAAACTCCAACTCATGGTAGTGGCATGGAAACTACAGCAAGAGGCAACATACACCTCCTGTTACTCACCTGTAGAGAGAGCAGAAATGGTTAACCTCTTTACATACATCCACATTAATAAACACACTTCATTTAGATCTCCTTATAGTAAAATATTCTACCATTTAAAGACATGCACAATATCTGCCCAAAACCAAGTAGACTTGTTCAGTTTACAGGCACTCCTTCCTTCCCTCCAAAGTCTGATACGTGAAGATTATTTATTAATCTGTCTTAATCTAGTTTTTTGTGTCTGTCTCTCAATTCATCTCTTCCAACATACACAGAATAAACAGACTAGTTTTTATTATACAAAGAAAGAGACCACCCATTATTCTATTGTATTCACTAAGTTTTTTTTAGCCCCCTGTGTTAGCAATGAAAGGTTTGAGCACTTGGCTCTTCTGCCAAAAGTAAAATGCACACTTACAAACCACCTAACATAGTTCACCATGGCACTGATTTGAAACACAATGCAGACAAGCACTTTGTCTTTCCTATACATGGTTATCAAACAGTGTATTTCTCCACAATAACAACACGTTTATCTTTGATTCTTTTAATAGCTGTTCCTTTGAGCGTATGTCTAAACATACCCTTGGCAATAGTACACAAAGGGAAGAGTAATGATGACGATGGAATGTCTAACCATAATTGCTATTGTTAACTGAATGCCCCTTTTCATTTTACATTAGATCGTTACAACATCTGACTATCCAGGTGCTTCAAAGCTATGGACATTTTCTCATCTCATGCCAGTTAAAGTATTATTGACATCATGTACTGATTGCATCATACGATTCATTGTTCTAGCCATTCATTCATTCACTTTTCATTTCATTTTACTAAGCTACACTGATAATATATTTAAACATTGAGCACTTGGCATAGGAAGGTAGTAGTTATAGACCAATTTAAGGAGGCTAATGTGGTACAATACCCCCATTCTCAGAAGTGTGAGTTCTTTATTTATTCCTTATATTCCTCAAATGTATCCACTACTTATACCCAATGATTGTGTGAATTTATAACAAAAAAGTAAATTATTCTATTTTCATAATAATACATTAGCAGACTATTAACAGCTTCTTAACTTTACACATAAGCTGCAATCCTCAGATTCAAATGCAGATCTACCTTCATATAATTTGGTTTTCATATGAGAAGCACTGTGATCAAAATGAATGGATGGAACAATTTGACAAAACAAAAACTAGCAACAGTCTTTGTATACGTGCTACATGCTAGCACAGTTGGGTGAACCATAATTAGCTAGAGAAGGAGGGCTGGAGATGCTCCGAGGCAGTAGCACACTAGATGGCTGGTTAAGTAGTCATATAGAGCTAGAAGAAGCAGCAGACACAATAGAGAAAGTGCAAAGGGTGGAATCACCATGTATGACTGAAATAGGTGCAGATAGTACACCTTCTTTGAGTTCTTAGTTGTATTCATCGATACCCAATAAAATCATTTTTATCTTCTACTGAAGTACACCAAATTTACATTGTGGATATTACTGCATTTAATGTTCTCTTTGGACAGGTTATACCAGTGGCTTTCAAAAGTTGTTGACCAGGTGAGTTTATCTTTCTTAATGGAAAACTCTGGCAACTACATATTACAATGTTATGCTTTGCATGCTGTATATTATTTATTTATTTATCAGCTTTATATCCCAAAACTTTTATCAATGCCACGCGACTGAATTTTTTTCTCACTGCCACTTTCTTCATGAAAGCCATACTGATGCACTATGACAATGAGTCATTGAGCCATTTATAACTGATCCAAAAAACACTTTCATGAAAGCAGGTCCAGCTGCTGCTAACATCAGAGTTAACAATGTTCCTCATGTCTCACTTTGTAAAGAAAAATAAAAAATTCCAGAGTGTCTCATTAAGAGTCACGTGGCTTCTAAAACTGCACATCTGGCCATGTTGTGTAATGTACTATTTGGAGACCCAGTAGCACAGCTATCACCACCCAAACACAAGTCTACCGGATGGCAAGAAACTGGGAACACTCCCTCTTAGAGCTCATTAGCAAAGCCCATCACGGTTTGCTGCACAACAATAGAGTAAAGCAAATTTAATTGCTTACCATTGACTCATGCATTTTTGGTCATAATAATCCTGTGTATACAGTTTAATAATTACCTTCAGAATAACATATACAAATCAAAAATTTAGGTTAATCGGTCATCTTAAATTAAAGGAATAACTGACTCAGTAACAAAATAGTCCGGTCAGGACCCTGCAGGATGAGCTACAGCAGGTATTAGAGTTTTGTCCACATTTTTAATAAATATTAATGCACCTTGTCAAGTTTTTACAATTAATGGCACAGATCATTCCTATTGGTCTTGATAGTATTTTACTCACCAACCAAGTTATTACAGCAGATTTGGAGCCTGCTGTCAAAAAACAACTAAAATCTGTGGCAAGTGGACCAGAAAATAAACCCCACAGATACTGAATGTTTTTGCATGAAACTGCTTAGTCTCAAAATGTACCAAAGGCTCCATAGCCCAGGTTGCTAGCAGTGCCACATTGCATGTCTGAAGTTGGTACAGTGCACTTTCTCCAGATGTCTCCCAGCCCCAGACTAACAGCCTCCAGTCTCCTACAGTGCCAGTAAAAGAACTATTTGAGGAGTGTATGTTAAAGAGCAACCACCCTTATACATGCCTATCTAAGAAGGCTTCAAGCTGTGAATATAAAGGGTTGTGGTTTCCTTCAAAACGCTTTAGGTGATGCACAACCCAAAAACTATCTTGTGAGTATGAAACGCTTAACCATTATTAACTTGAGAGACGACTGTAAAACCTTTTTTAAAGTATTTTTGGGGAGTATTTTTTTCTTGATGAGATACAGACCACACAACAGAACACTGACAGGGTGAAAAAGGGAAATGAGAGGAAGGAATGACACGCAAAAACGACCCTTACACGGATTTGAACCAGGTACGCTACAGGCTCATGGTCAGCATCTTAAATGCAACAAACACCTGCCATGTCATACAGAGATAGTCAAGGTACCATAGCTTTGAAGGCTGATCCAGGGACACACGTTAGCATATGATAATGTGGATTAAGATGGCGCCAATAAGCTGGCTAACATTTAAAATGAGCAATAATGAGGACTACATTAATAAAAAAACAGTGACTGATAATAGCAAGCAGAATAAATCTCTACTTTTAAATCATACGCAAAGGCAGAAATCACCATCACCACCTTTCATACAAGTCCTGGACAACTTCCTAGAATAAAATAATGATATGCCACAAAAAACTATGAAAAAGAACTGCAAGTGTAGTTACCCAAACTTTAGATTCAGCACTTTTCATCACTGTAACAAGTCTTCAAGACACGGAGCCTGCAGGGTATTCTGGGGTCACTTTGTGAGCCATCCACTCAAAATTGTCAAACCACACACAGATGATGCAGTATGTACAACATAATTTGATCTTGACACATGCCTCTAGCAAAGAGAGCTACTTTGTCTGTCTGCATGAAGTCAATAGAAGTACACTATGACTTGAAAACCATTAATTATCTAACTACACCGCTGGGATCTACCAGTATTGCTTACAGGAGTCTTTTGTTATGTTATTTTACCATGGCAGTACACACAATCCACTGACAACTGTGTGCCTCGAGCGTATCTTTGATTTGATTACAAGGAGAGCTCTGAACAAAGTATGACAGAATCCAGGTTTCCAGCATTTATCTTGACCGAGTGATAATAACAAATAATAAAATCAGTTTGTGATGTAGCACATGTATTGGGTGAAAACTGTGTGGACTACAAATAAGCACATATACAGCAGTCGGCACCAGTTCTGCTAGCCCTCCTTCTCCTTCTTACTAACTGCTTCAACTAATCACAATAATTTTAGTGTCCTTACAACACCAGCTGTAAGTCATCATTCTTATTACCCCTTTTTGTTGTATCCTTCTTTTTCCTGGCAAGAATTTTGAGAGATTTCAAACCCCATGTACCTGCAAAGAAAACAGAGATAACACCAAAAACATCTATTTAATCAATATATTTAAATGTTTTTGTTCACGTTTTAATTCATAAAGCCTACTCTTTATAACTCTTTCTCACTTACTGCTGAAAAAATACTGCAAATATAAAGGTTGCACTGCTGTTTCAAATCAAAAGGCTCCAAAAAGGGGCTTATTATTAGATTACGACTTTGTGTTGTACTTGCATTAAAATTCAGCACAAAGGATGATAAAAGGATGACATAGGTACTGCAATGAACAATAGATTAGCTAATCAATTTCACAGAAAATGAATCCTTGGCAAATTTGACAATAGATTCAAATAATTCGGTAGTTAATTCTTCAAAATGATTCAAACACTTTCTCGTTTAGCATTTGCAAATATGTTGTATATCATTATTAACTTAGCTAAGTGAATATCTTTGAGTGTCTGAGTTGGGCCCAAGGAAATTGTCATAGCGTATTTCACTTTTTTCTCACGTCATGAACTAAACCTTTAATTAAAACAGATTAATTGGAATTGAAAATAGTAGTTGCACCCTGAGATCCCATGGACATTAAAAACTTCAACTGGAACATTAAGCTAACATTAACGTGACTTAACGTGACGTCAAAAAGTTATAAACTTTATAAAATTGCTCTATAATGCTTAGTTATGCCAATAAATTGTTATCAAGTCCATATGTCATTTATAATAAATTAAAAGCTTGTAAAACATAACTGGCAAAGATGATGTGGAGGTAACTTAAGATAACCAAACCGTTTGTTAAAGATGACTAGCTTACTCAGCTAACCTAGCACGAAGTCAAAATTCATCCCAAATGACCCTGAAATACACTAATTTCGTGGTATTTCTAGTACTTTACCTTTTCTTTACAGTCTTCTAGTAATTTTTCTTCAAAGTTATTTCCTCAAGTAACGGTAGACTGACACTTATTTGCCTTCCTCACCACAGCAGCATCCTCAC